GGCCGGGGCAGCCGCGCCGTCCCGCCGCCGCCGCCGGGCCAGGGCATGTGTTTGCTGAAGATGGAGGAGAAGTTCGCCAGCGGCCAGTACCGGGGCATCACGGAGTTTGTGGCGGACTTCAGGACGATGCTGGAGACGTGTTACCGCCTGCACGGAGTGGACCATTGGATCTCCAAACAGGGTCAGAAGCTAGAGATGCTGCTGGAGCAGAAGTTGGCGCTTCTCTCTCGGTAAGCTAGCCCCATTCTGGGTGGGACTGACAGACTGACACAAACACACCCTCACACGTGTCCGAGCGAGGATGGGCTGGGCCAGGGAGCGGGGGGCGGCGCTGATAGGTGCGGTGTCGGTGGCGGAGAACCCCGAGAGGTGGAGCAGCTCTGGGCGGGGGCCTTGGAGGGGTGTGGTGGATGTGGGCTGAAAGCTGGGTACCCGGGAAGGGAGAAGCTCATTTCCATATTTCTATCGATGCGTTATCGTTGTGATTCAGACTAGATAATCCACTCTCGTACCATTATTTTTAAGTCTTAAAGTACACTGCAAATTGATGTCACAAGTTTCTAAACTCAGAAGGTCCGTCAAGTTTTAAAGATTTGAAAAGAATGTAGAATGAAGCAAGAGAGCTGGCTGCAAGAAACTGCTCAAGTTTCTAAGAGCATTTAGTTTCCATAAGCTAACAGACCTTAGTCTTAGAAAAGGACAGAGAAACTTTCTCTTTAACACAGAGGCTAATTTTTGAGGCTTGAATCCTGGGCCTCAATTCAGATAGGCTAGGCAAGCGTGCTCTTCAGTCATACCTTCAACCCTACTTAAAGGTAAATTTTTAAATTCTTGGAGCCATCATTCCTAGCGGCTAATGTGAATTAAGAATTCTCAGGTGATTTAATAGTATCCATACTTAGAAGTTAAACTTATAACGTTGTAACGTATAAACGTTTTAAACATAAACGTTATAATGTTACTAAAGATACTTAAATCTCCAACATTCAGCAGAAGAGAAAAAAATGCTTACATTTTGATAGCAAAAAGTAGCATGATGGTTTCAAGTAGAGTTCTGAGTTGCTCACTTTTTTGTACTTGTAAGTGATGTTATGTATACACTTTATAAATGATAAGTTTGGAGCTGGGAAGGTGGCTCAGTGGTAGAGCGCTTGCCTTGCATGCATGAGACCCTGGGTTCGATTCCTCAGCACCACATAAGCAAAAAGAAAACAAGCCGGAAGTGGCACTGTGGCTCAAATGGTAGAGTGCTAGCCTTGAGCTGAAGAGCTGAGGGATAGTGCCCAGGCCCAGAGTTCAGGCCCCAGGACCGGATTCCCCCCCAAAAATGATGTTTGCTTAGATATATTAGGAAATTATTTCTTTTTCTATACTAGCCAGAAGACTAAGTTGTTATTATATAATTGCTTTGGGTAGACATGTTTGAAAAGCCTCAGTTGCAACTTAGGTTTGGAATATAATTTATTATGTTTCAAACAATATGTTATAGTTCTCATAAACAGAGTTTTTTAGCAACCAGATGACCAAGACACCTTATTTGGAAATGAAGTATTATATAGTGTTTTAGTATTTATGTCATTTAAGTTTCCTTTTGTGTTTTGATGTATATTTGTAACCCTAAATTAAATCTTTCAGTTTGTAAGGATAATTTTACTGCAGTTTCATATACTACTGAGTTTCTAGTGACTGATAATAAATGAGATGCCTTTGGTAAAGAAGATGTCACATTATCATTAAAGAGCAGCCAAATGATATTAGTACATTGAATAAACATTGTAAAACTTCCAGAGTCTTTATTTGTATAATGAGAGTATTAGTTTGAATTAATTGATTGTGCAAATATTCAAGTGTCCACTAGTGTTGGACTTCCATGTGTCTCAGATCAGTAGACAAGTTTTCTGAACTGATTGGTTTACAGTTGAGTAGGGAAGAAAACACCTAAGATGATAATGAATCTAGGGCTGGGAAGGTGGATTAGTGGTAGAGTGCCTACCTAGCATACATGAAGCCCTGGGTTTGATTCCTCAGTACCACACAAACAGAAAAAGCCAGAAGTGGTGCCATGGCTCAAGTGGTAGAGTGATAGCCTTGAGCAAAAGAAGCTCAGGGGTAGTGTCCAGGCCCTAAGTTTGTGCCCCAGGACTGGAAAAAAAAAAGATAATGAACATACTGGATATATTAACAAGGTTTAGGAGAGGGTGATCTAAAGCTGGAAGAAAAGGGATAACAGGTGAGAAAAAGAAAGGAGAAGGGGAAAGAGAATAAAGTTAATACAGTTTGTACTTGAACTCATTCTTAAAGGAGTTGAATATTGTAGGTGGATTTGACAGGGACATTTTAGAATACTAAACTACAATGAATGCAAGACATAAAACAGCATAGTGTTTCTGGAAACTACAAATAATTTTATATAGTTTAGTCTCCAGTATTTTGTCTGTACCTCAGAAGGCGTACAAAATGGGTCCAAATAGGAGTGAGGGAAGAAATTATTAAAACTTCAGTATATTCTATTATTATTTTATTCTAAATGTCTGGTTTTGTTTTGCTTTTGTGATATTTATACTAGTAGTAGATATATAAACATAAATATAGGGCTGGGAAAATGGCTCAATGGTAGAGCGCTTGCCTTGCATGCCTGAGGCCCTGGGTTCGATTCCTCAGCACCACATAAGCAAAAAAGAAAAAAAGCCAGATAATAAACATAAATATATACACCTATGTATGTATATGTATATATATGTATCTAGGCAAGTGCTCTGCCACTTGAGCCATATCCCCTTTTAGTTATCTTTAAGATAGTTTTTAGTTATTTTTTAGATAGGATCAACTTCCTGCTTTTTGCCTTCATCTATCCTTGAATCGTGATCTCCTATCTCTGCCTCCCATGCATGTTCTGGGATTACAGTTATGAAATATCATGTCCATCTTGTTCAATATAAAATCTTGATAACTTTTTGTTTGGGCTGGCTTCAACTGTAGTCCTCCTATTTCCGCCTTCCAAGTAGCAGGGATTATAGATGTGAGCCATTGTTCCTAGATTACTTTCAGAGTTTTAGTGGTAAATCTTGATTTAGCTTGTTAAATACTATGCTGCAAGGAAGAATGCTTAGAGTACTATTGGGATAAGCTATAGTAGCAGGGGTGAGAAACCTTTTTAACTGCATAGGGCTATTTTGATATTTATAACATAATTTGAACAGGCTGATTCACTGAATTTCATTTTTCCAAAGCAGCTAAATTTACTGAATTTCAAGTCCTACCCAGGTCAAATGCTTTCCCAGGCCTTATACAGCCCTCAGGACTGAACATATGCTATTCCCAGGAGTGTTAGAGATGTAAAGAAAAATAACAGGGGTGGGAGGAAACTGATTCAAATACTTTACAAGATTTTATTTAAGCTAGTTTGTTTATTTGCTTGGTGGGTTGTGAGGCTTGAACTTTGGGCTTGGCACTGTCCCTCAGCTCTTCAGCTCAAGGCGAGTACTCTACCACTTGAGCCATAGCTCCACTTCCAGTTTTCTGAGTGGTTTATTGGAAATGAGCGTCTCATGGACTTTCCTGCCTGGGCTGGCTTTGAACCATGATCCTCAGATCTCAGCCTCCTGAGTAGCTAGGATTACAAGTGTGAGCCACCAGCGTCCGGCTTCAAGCTTATTTTTAAACTAGGTTTTAAAGAGTGTATAAAATGTTGATAGGTGAAATTCAGGAGTCAATTGACAATTACTTTAATTATTCTGTGCTAGGTAGAGTATAAAACCATATAAAATGATCTTTTATGCTACTTCATTTTGATAGGTGAACAGAAAATACAATTTAGAATTCTGATGCATACAAATACAGAGTATTCATTAGGAAATAGTTTGTACCCTATGATTAGCGTATAAGATGAACAGGATCTGTAGTGACAGGTAGCTCTAGAAAGATAGGATGGGGCCAGTTAGAGAGGGCTTTGAATGCTTACTAAGGGGTTTAGAATCTAGGCCATGTAAATGTGTCACAAGGGTTAAGAGAGTAACATGATGTTACTAGTATTTTGAAGAAGGTAGAAATGGAAGGAGGAAGAAAGCAGAAAGTCAATTAAACCGTTATTTAATTAATTCCATCAAAAGAATAATGAACAGTTGGAATATAAAGCTTAGATGAAGATACAGAAGAGAATTTAACTCAGCAGGTGCAAATGGTAAATGGCAAACTGTTGGATGCATGGTGTGAAGGAGTGATGTCCAAATGAATTAGGTTATTTGTACCCAGGTGATGGAGATACTGTGATGATAAGAGGCATTCATTTAAAGATATCCAGCTGAAAATTAATTTAAAAAGTGCATATGGTAATAAGAAGTGTGGTTTTTGTGGGGTTTGAACTGAAGGCCTGGGTGCTGTCCCTGAGCCTCTTTGTGAGCAAAGCTAACACTCTACCACTTTGAGCTACAGCTTCATTTCCAGTTTTTGAGTGGTTAATTGGAGGTAAGAGTCTCACTTTTCTGCCTGGGCTGGCTTTGAACTATGTTCCTTACATCTCAGCCTCCTGAATAGGATTACAGGCATGAAGCACCCACTCCTGGCACTATAGATGTTTAATAAAGGGTTAACATACAGAAAGGCAATGATTAAAGAAATTAAAGTGAATGAGACTACCCAGGATGAAGTTTAGTTATAAAAGGGGGCAGCAAACTTTGAGGATTGTCTTCAACAGTCTTTTCAGGAAGAAAAAGGATTAGAAAAACTTCTATTAAAGTATATTTAAAAAGATGAACACTTTGAGTAAGTGCAGTTAACAAAGTTGAAAAGGATTTCTCATGACACAAATGTATTATCTGGAATAATGTGAACACAGACTTCATTGCTTAATGATTTTTTTTTGTTTTGTTTTCCATTGAGGATATTAATTTAAGAATGGTTTAGCTTTCATATAATAAAAATGCCTATGTAGACTTTGATTGCTGTTGGGATTTTTTTTTGATGTTTTGTGTTGTGTGTTTATGTGGGCATGTGCATGTGCATACATACATACTAGGATTGTGGCTTGTACTCAGGGCCTTGCACTCTTGGTGGACTTTTTTGCTGGAGCTCTACCACTTGAGCCATTCTAGAAGTCTGGTAATTTACTGGTTGAGATCAAGTCTTGTGGATTTATTTGCCTAGGCTTCTCAGGCTGCCAGGCTTCTGATCAAGCTTCCTGAATAGCTAGGATTACAGGTATGAGGTACCAGCCTGGCAAGACTCATGTGTT